TTCCTCTTCTGCTGTTGGCTTAATGAAGCCTTTTATGCTACTCCAGAAACTATCAATGATGATTCATGGTATCTTGATAGTGGAGCAACTTCTCATGTGACTAATGATGCTTCTATCCTTGATCAAGCAGTGCCTAATGATAGTAAGGTTAAGTTATCTGTGGCTAATGGCTAAAACTTACCTGTTTCAAAAATTGGTTCTACACAAATTCAAAATGTCCCTTATAACTCAGTCAAATTGAATGATGTTCTTTTTGCACCTAAAGCTAAGAAAAAGCTCATTAGCATTCCAAAATTGTCAGATGACAATAGTGCATTGACTCTAATGAATTCTCATACTGCCATTGTTAAGAATCAGGAAACAGGAAAAATTTTGTTGCAAGGGGTGAGAAGTAACACTAGACTTTATAGAGTTGATGCCACAAAGGTTCAAAAGATAAGAAGTGCTGCTGCTAAAAAGACAAAGGACTCAGACAATTCTGGACATGTTTTCACTGTTGAAGAAGTTGGAGTTTTAACTCCCAAGCATAATACTAGTACTAGTTGTAATGATGTTAGGAAGCTTTGGCATGATAGACTTGGTCATCCTAATGACCGAATTTTGAATCAGATTATTAGTGAATGTAATTTCAAAGTTAATGCAAAAGTTGAACCTATGTTTTGCGAATCATGCAAATATGAAAAGTCTCATTCTCTCCCATTTAAAGCTTCAACACCTAAAACTTCTCATAACCTGCAACTCATACATACAGATCTGTGGGGACCTTCTCCTCTATCTTCTACCAATGGTTTTCATTATTATATACTATTTGTTGATGACTATAGCAGGTATTCATGGATCTACCCCTTGAAATCCAAGGATGAGGCTCTATCTATGTTTCTTCAATTCAAAAACCATGTTGAGAATCAGTTTGAGAAGAAGATCAAAATAGTTCAAAGTGATTGGGGTGGAGAATATTGTAGTTTTACAAAAACTCTTCAAGATGCTGGAATTATATTTAGACATTCTTGCCCTCATACCTCTCAACAAAATAGGAGAGTAGAGTGCAAACATAGACATATAGTGGAGACAGGACTTACTTTGCTTGCCCAAGCAAAGATGCCTTTATTTTATTGATGGGAGGCATTTCACACAGCAACTGTGCTCATAAATAGACTTCTTACTCTTGTTCTTGGAGGTATTTCACCATTTATGAGGTTGTTTACTAAGTATCCTGATTACTCCAATTTAAAGGTTTTTGGAGCAGCCTGTTGCCCTTGTCTAAGATCTTATAATCAACATAAGCTTGATTTTAGAACAACAAAGTGTGTTTTCATTGGTTATAGCAACTCACACAAAGGTTATAAGTGCTTAAGTCTACTGGCAGAATTTTTATATCTAGACATGTTGAATTCAATGAAAAAGAGTTTCCTTTTGCTAATGGTTTCATAAACAGGAAACTTTTACCTGTAGACGAGACTCATCCTACTGTTTTCTTCAGACCTGCAGTTTGTTCTCTGCCTTCACAGTGCTCTTTCTCTGGTAATATATCTTCTCATCTGCCTCAATCACCAAACACTACTATTTCTGGTGATATTTCTGTTTCATTAAATGAACATCCAGTTAGTGAAGGTCCTGATTCACCTCAAAGTTGTGCATCACCAGAGAATAATACAAGCAATAATAATAGAGTTGCTATGTCCTTACCAAATCAGATTTACAATCCTCAACGTCTTGCAGTGACATTACCTTCAACTGAACCTGATCAAGGTGTCTAAGGTGTTACACAAAATCAGCATCAGATGGTTACTAGAAGCAAAGCTGGTATATTCAAACCTAAAGCTCCTTTTATTGGTTTGACTGAAATTAGTAAATCTAATTATGAAGAACCATTTACTATTAAAGATGCTTTAAATTCAAAAATCTGGAAAAAGGCTATGATAGATGAATTTAATGCTCTTGTAAGGAATCAGACTTGGATTTTGGTTCCTAGAACTGGCAAAGAAATGGCTGTTGACTGCAAATGGGTATTTAAGTCAAAGTTTAATCCTGATGGTACATTTCTTAAACCTAAAGCAAGACTTGTTGCTAAAGGTTTTCAACAAAGTCTAGGTATTGACTATGATGAGACTTTTAGCCCTGCTTTGAAACCTGCTACTCTAAGATTTATTTTGACTCTGGCTGTTAGTTTTAAATGGCCAATTAGACAGATGGATATCAATAATGCCTTTCTAAATGGTTATTTACAAGAAAAGGTGTTTATGAAACAACCGGAAGGCTTTGTTGATAAGAGATATCCCAACCACATTTGTCTTTTGAACAAGGCTATTTATGGACTCAAACAAGCCCCAAGGGCTTGGTATGACAGATTAAAGGCCACATTATTGACTTGGGAATTCAAGCAATCTCAATGTGACAACTCTCTGTTTTATTTCAAGGTGAAGAATAATATCATGTTTGTGCTTATTTATGTTGATGATATAATTATCACTGGCAGCAATTCTACTATCTTATCCTTGTTTGTTAAAGAGTTAGATGCCCTGTTTCCATTGAAAGATCTTGGCACTCTGCATCATTTCTTGGGCATAGAAGCCTATAGAGATAGTTCTGGTCTCTATGTGAAGCAGGAAAAATATATTCCTGATCTACTCAAGAACTTTGGCATGGAATCATGTGCTTCAGCTCCAACATCGATGGTTATAAATAAGCATCTGTCTATTCATGTTGGGACTCCCATGAAGAATCCCTCAATTTACAGACGAGTAATTGGAGCATTACAATATCTGGTCAACACTTGACCAGATATTCTCTTTGCAGTAAATAAACTTAGCCAATTTTTACATTCCCTTACAACATTCATTGGCAAGCAGCTAAACGAGTTCTCAGATATCTAAAGGGAATGATTGATCTGACTCTTCATCTAAAACCAGTTGAGTATCTCACCTTACATGGGTTTTCTGATGCGGATTGGGCTGCGTGTGTTGACGATCGTCGATCCATGGGAGGTTACTGTGTCTTTCTTGGTGATTCTCTAATTGCCTAGTCTGGGAAGAAGTAAAGAGTTGTCTCCCATTCAAGTACAGAGTCAGAATACAAAGCACTTGCAGATCTTGCCACTGAACTCTCTTGGATTCAATCTTTGTTCTCTGAGATTGGTTTTTGGTTGACTCAGATTCCGACCGCTTGGTGCGATAACCTCAGTGCTTCTGCCTTGGCTTCGAATCCAGTCTTCCATGCTCGAACTAAGCATATAGAATTGGATGTTCATTTTATTTGCGAGCGAGTTCTTGCGCGCCAGATGCTTGTTCATTTTGTACCTTCCTCAGATCAAGTGGCCGACATTTTTACAAAAGCCTTATCTCACTCTCGCTTTCTGAGTTTGAGAGATAAGCTTGGTTTAGTCAAAAGCCCAACCTCTCGTTTGAGGGAGGATGTCAAGACAATAGAGAGGAAGCCCAACTTACACAAGCCCAATCAGTATATACAAGCCCAATAAATGATTCCAGTATATTTATCTATATATTTTTTTATTTGTAGTTTGCTATAGGGCATTCTTTATATACGTGGCTAAACCACATTCATTAGGGTTCTTGTACATTCTCTATATATAGTATAATATTCATTGGGCGCTGTGCGCCACCACTTTTATCATTTTCTTCTTTTGAGTAAAGCTTATCTCTACCACTCTCTTGTCAGACAGTGCCCTCCACCTCTATCACCTTAAATTACTCTGTCACCTCAACATTGAGAATCTCATATGACATTTACCAAGCTAAGGAATTTCAATTCCTACCCTTATCTCCTTCTAAGATAAGTGTTGTGAATGTTAATAATCTCCTTCTCTTCCACTCCTTTAGCTTCTCTTCTACTTCCAATAATTCGATGGGTAGTAATGTAGACATTCACCAAAAATGATGTCATCATACTACAAATGAGAACTCATTGTCATCTTTCTCTAGTGGCAATAGTCACCAATCTTCTTTGGCCGAAAATGTTAGCCATGTTGCAAAGAAATAGATATGGTGAAAGTGGATAGAGCACATGAGTGCGGGGATGAAAGTGTGGACAAAGCAGAGCGAGAGAGAGGAAGTTTGGGTCCCATATTTTTAAAAATAAACAAATGTTACTGAGAAATTGATAGTAGGTAAGGGATGCATCAATTTTAATAGTTAATGGTTTCTTTTACATTATTGCATAACATAGGCTACCAAGTAATCTTTAAAAAATAGTTGAAAGCTAAATTTTCACCTTGACCCTTTAATTTTAGATATACATACATATTAATTTATATAATTTCTTTTGCCTTCTATTTTACTTATGTTTTCCTGGACGCCATGCATGGTATGGAAATTCATGCCAGTTTAATAGTATATGTCAACTAATGCAAATATAGTTTGATACAATCAAAACATTAGATATGCACTTGACTTTCAGAATTGCTTAAGTTTTAAATAATTAAATTTAATAATTTATATTGTCATACATCTAATAAAAATAAATTAAATTGTACATCTAAAATATAATTTTTGCAGGTATTATTTTAGACGATAATGGAGAAGACAATTTTATAACTAAAGTATTTCTTAGATGATGAAAGATTAAAGGACTGCTTAGTTTCTATTCTCATTTTTTGTTTTTAAAAGCTGTTTTATAATACAACTTTTAAAATTATTTTTCAAAACAAAATAAAATGAAAATCCATTAGATTATGTCAATTAAAAAATAATTCTAAAATTAAAAATGAAATAAAAATTGATCAAGAAAACTATAATTTTTAATAATCAAATACAGTGTATTTTAAAAATAATAAAAATTAAACAGAAACAACTTGAAGTTATTTTTATTCTCTTGTCTTAAAAAATGTTTTAAATATAATTAAATGAAAAATACTAATCCAAACAAGTGTTTACATTTTTTTTTTGGTTTTCAAAAAGAAGAAATAATTTTTAAAACAAAAAACAAACATGCCCTAATTCTTTCGTTTTGAAATTCCAATTCAAGTGCGAACTAAAAAGAATAAATATTTTGGAAGAAAAAAATAATGGAAACAATGAAAGATGAAGTCAACATTAACAATAAGCTACCCCAAAAAATGAGGAGGAAAACATGTAGGTACAGTTAAACAATAGATTACAATTTATAGTCCGCAGATCATATCAAATCTAACCTACACCGCCAATAGCCCTTTACTCGCCCTTGGTGAGCAGCTGTGAATTCAATCCTGCTTGGAGAGGGTCTCTCTTTTTTCCTTACTCTCCATTTCCCTCCTTTTATTTTCATTATCGTTAGATCAAAGCTTTTTAACAGTTCTGGTTTAATATTTGATAAAATTATCATTATAATTTTACATTAAAATATATAAATATATTTGAACTACTAAATTTTGATATAAACAATTTAAAACTATAGTATTTTAGCTATATATTTTTATGTAAAATTATAATGATAATTTTATCAAAAATTAAATCAGAACCGTTGAAAAGCTTTGATCTAACAATAACAAAGAAAAGGAGGGAAAATGAGAGTAAGGAAAAAGGAGAGACTCCAGATGCCACTAAGCTTTGCCATATTTGGAAGGGGAAAACTTATGCAGACACAAATCACACAGAAGACAGCAACGCTCTTGCAAAAGCTGGCAACTGTTTTTCTACAAATTGAATGGTTGATTGCAGGTATTTGTCTTGAGGACTCAAACATGACTTTCCAGTTTCTATCAATGAGACGCAAACAGACGATACTTCATTGCTTAACTGTCCATAAATGAGAGAAATGAAATCAGTGAGCAGAAGGCTAAAGTAAAGCATTGCAGATTCAGAAACCCCAAGAGATCAAATATGCTTCTTTCCCCCCCGTGCGCAACAACTGAACTTCTTATTTTGACAGAGCTGGTATGTGGAGTCAAGCTAGGATTTTGTTACATAATTGTAATGTTGAAATATTAGTTACTGTTAGTTATAAAAATAGCCGTTAGGAGTAGATGAGGTTATTATTATCCGTTAGGTGGGGGAAAATAGGAATAGAAGATAATAAATACACTAGATATATGTAATTCAGATTATGCATAACTATAATGAGAATAATCAGCGTACAATTCAGTATCTCTGTTCTCTCTCTCGTCTCTCTATTTCTCTTTTTCCTCCGTTTTTCTCTTTCCCTCTCTTTCTCTTTCTTTCAGAATTACAAACCTCTCAGATTTGATTCTCTTATAATCAATTATTTGATTTATCATGCCAAACTTTGAAAGATTATTATATACGTTCCAAATTCCCCAGAAAATTGAATAAACCTCTCGGCAATGCACGGGGGGGCATTCAATAGTTAGAAGGAAAAAAATTTTGGAGCTACAAGATTCTCTTTTTGGCCAGAGAAGCTGCCGGATTTATTCTGTGGATTTGATTTCGTTTTTACAAGATTTGATTTAAGCTTCATTCAATATTTATATGGGAAAAAGAGCAATTTTCCCTATCAATTATAGGTCGAGTAGTACCAGAGGCCCTAAACTCATTTATTGTATTTGTTTTCTCAACTCTTGAATTCGTTGCAATCTCCACCCCCCCCCCCCAGCATTAAGCATAGAAAAATGTCCGTTACTTTATGATGGTGGGGTCCACTAGTTCATCCATATGTCAGCGTAAAACTGATGGCCACATGTCCGAACCACTGGGCCCATCATAAGTAACAGACGCTTGCTCTTTTAGGGGGTAAATTGCTCTAGTGCTATTCTACATATAATTTAGTAGGTGAATTGTTCTTTTACCCTATTTATATAAGTTCTCATGAAATAATTTGGATAAGCTCACTATGACGTGATAAAAGAAAGAATATCCTACATCCTATATCCTAACAACTTGAAATAAAAGGGGAACAAAACAAAGAAATTTTTTTTTTTCCCTGAAAGTTAGCACATCTGCCAAACCTTAAAACAAAATAGTCATCTTAAAATGAGCGATGCATATGTCAGGACAAACTAGTGAAGATCGGTGATATGCAGCGAACTCGCAGGAACAAAGGCCAATCTTTTGCAACTTCTGCGTGACTTACTATGTTTAACTCTAGACTTGGTGGTATGAGATGCTAAATCTCACATTGATTAGTAAGGGATGCTCAATGGAGTATCCAAAGGGGTTGCTCCTCCCAACTCAATAACTAGCTTTTAAGGTAGGGTTTTCTATCCCATTCAGGCACCCATCAGATTCATTTCCAAGGGCACACCAGTATTTTTTTCCCCCCCTTCTCTTTTGCATTTATGAAAGATAATCATATTGATTGCAAATTTGCAATGTTTAATACAAGACAAATTCAGAAAACCAGCCTACCTTGAAAGATGATGCAATGGAGTTGCATGCTTCAAGCGCCATGATTCCTCTAGCAGCCTTCATTTTAGCCTCAAATTAAGTACTAATTATGATTGGTCAAATAAATCAAATTATTTTATTTGAAGTCGATACGATTTTACCTGCAAAGGCTCTTCTTGAATGGCATTAACCAAGTTTTGAAGAATAATATTGGAGAAAGAAACAAGTTCTTGCTTGTAAGATAAATTACCATAGTATAACGTGTCATTGCCTGGAACCTGAAAAAAAAAAAGAAAAAAGAAAAAAAGAAAAAGAAGCACCATCATGTTTTAGAAATCAAAATTATTAAAAAAAAAAAAAAAAACTAAACCGGTCAGAAATGCTCAGTAACAAAAGAATTGCACATACGGTAAATCAATTACAACCAAGTCTAATGGGATTTTAGTGCATTTTCACAAATTCATGGGACTCATTTGTAAATAAGTTTTTAAGATGAGAGCTATTTGTAATTTTCCCTTATATTTTTCCCCTCGCATCTTGCCTTCTTGTCAACGTATACATATAAACAGGGACACAAGCATATAATTATAGACATGTGCAAATAAACAGATATAGAGACCGTAAACGAATATCTGCACATACACACTAGCACTTGCACACATTTACATTCATACATTCTTGACAACAGATATGATTGGCACATACGTTATGAATATTTGTGCGTTGATGAAATAGTATATATAAAAATTCAAGCACACGCAGTTACCAATATTAATAAAATCACAGATATACATAAATATGTGCATGTCACATTCACTCATAATTAGATATGCACATATTTAAAATACTATTTGATAAATGTTATAAAAAAAAAAAATTTAAGATGTCAAAGTTGATGTTTTCCCTAAAAATAAAATAAAAAAAGAAAAGAAAAGAAAAATTACTGTGCTTTGGTTTTAAATGGATTCTATTTTCTTTTTGGGCATAAAAAATTTAAAAACTAGGGTGTAATGCTTGAGTTGGGTGACCAGTCAATCCTTACAGTTCATAGCTAAAACACACCTAATTAAACTGGGATTAACACCAAAACACGCAAGTTCATCCACTTGCCAGGCCTAAATTTACGAGTATACATTAAAGGCAAAGCTATACCTCCTTATTTGCATGATATGGAAGTTTGTTTTGTGACCAAGTCGTCAACAATAAAATGATAGCAGAAAAAATACGTATCCTCAGTTTTGGTTCAATCCTGCAAGGATTCAATTAATCAAAAATAGAGGTCAAAAGATATAAAGACTAACGTTAGGGTAAAAGAAACAGAACATGATAGGTTTTGCGTCATGATAAAAGGTATGAAAGGCTTACCATGATTGGGAGCTGATCACATTGAACAAGTTACTAGGGAAATAGGTGAATCCTTGACTAAAATTACCTTCATTTCCATTAAAAGATAATCACAGTGAATAAAAGCATATGAAGATAGTGCAACAAAATAGTTCCCAGCTCTTAATTTTAAATTAGCATAGCTAAGACATCCAAAATTCAACAGGTTATGAAATTTCTATATGAAAGCATTTGCCATGCACGCACATGGAATTTGCTCAACTTAAAAATAATATAAAAGATTGAACTCTATTAAGCAGGGGTGAGGGTTTGGAAAATAATTATGAGCAAGAAACATTATTTAAATCAATAAAGAAAATGCGGTAAATTAAAGAACCTGGAACCATAACCAAGAAACCGCATAGCTTTGTAATTGATGAGACTAGTCCCCCAACATCATTTGGGGTCCGAAATCCTACACAATCAACCAAATAAATGATCAATTACATAGGTAATGTTTGCTAGATTACTGACAAATAAATATTCTCAGAAAGAGGCCAATATGGCATATTCATAATATTATAAAATGTAACTTCAAATAGCAGAAGCAAGCATTAAAAAACTTGATAGTCATGGTCAAGTGACCACAAAATTAAAAAAGATGAATACTGTGCATAATTTTATAGACCCAGCATCTTATTGGAGATTTACTGCGGGATAGGTTTTCTCTGTTGGTTTTTTGGATATTGAACAAGAGAGTGATTGGAATTTGTTGTTTTATTCAACTAAGCAACGCAATATATCAACAAACTATGAGACTCACTCATAATGTGATAGAACCCGTGACTTCTCTAAGACTTATAAGAGGAGGGTAGAGAAGAAGAATGACTCCAACGGAAAGGTTTTGATGGGTCAAGATGATTATCCTTCAGTCCATGGCTGAAAGAAACAGTAAATCCTGATCTTGTGTTATGATTAGTATCTTTTTGGCAGTAGGGGGTGTGTGGAAGCCATGCTGTTAGTTTTATTAGTCTTTTGCTTGTGTTAAGGGAGTATGTCTTTTGCGATGGAATTGCGAGGAGTGGAAATCTTATTTTGATGTCTGTAATTCGTGTTGCTGGTTGTATTTTGATTATTCAGGGGAGATAGGGTTTTGGCCAGAATTAGAGATTGTTCTTGTAACTTTGATTTGGTTACCTTAGTACATTAATATCAAAACCTCAGCATTTTCCCCTCATCTTTATTGCTGTCACTGTTTGTTTCCTTATTCTTTACTGTGTTACTTGGTTGGGTTCCATTACTTGGTATCAAAGCATTATGATTATAGGGAGGTTTGATTAAGAGTTATGGCAAAGAGAGTATATTATGCTGATCGGGAAGTACAAGAATTAAAAGAGAAGGTTGGGGGGTTGAAAACAGATGTGAGCAAGCTCAAATAAATGTTAAAAGTCATGAATGAAGCCGTAGTATAGATACAGAAGAAAGTGTCTAGGCCTATGGGGAAGAACAGGGAGGCACTCATCATATGGAGACTGCTAGGAGTGACCAAGGAGGTGAACATGAGTCTAGCAAGTACAAGAAGTTATAATTACCTGTGTTCTCGAGTGAGGATCCTCTTAGGCGGCTTTTTCGAGTGGAGGTACTTCCACATAAACTCCATCACAAAACAAGAGAAACTTGAAGCAGCTGTGGTGTGTCTAGAAGGAAAAGCATTCAATGGGTACTAATGGATTGACATAAGGGCACTTTTATGTAACTGGTTGGAATTCAAGAACAAGCTGCTACGCCGATTTCATTCATCCCAACCTAAAGGGGGATATGATAGATTATTCACTACAAAGAAAGAAAAATTAATGCTGGAATTTGTGGAGAAATTCGAGCTCTCATTTGCACAAGTAAAGGACGCTTTTGAAAAGCAATTGATTGGGCCTTTTTGCAAAGGGTTGAAGGCTGAGATTAGGACAGAGTTGAAAATATCCAAGACAACCATGTTAAGGGAACTGATGGAGATGCCATTGTCAAGTGTTGATAGAATGCAAGGAGGCTAGGGCTACCTGGATCCAGCAAACCCACTTTGGGCCCAAACTCGAGTCAACCCAACCCCTTTACTCTGCACATGTGACTCACATGTCTGAAGCCAGCATACACTTGAGCCCCTAAACGACGTTGTCTATGGAAAATTCTAAGTGAATAGAGTCTACACTAGACCCATCGAGAATAGGAAGCACGACGAGCATGGAAATTGCGACGTAGAGAGAAGGCAATTCTTGGCGTCTCTATGATGCGGAAATTGAGAGGCGACATGAGCCTGGACTCTGTTTCGAGTATGGTGACAAGTATAGTCCAACCCATCAATGCAAGAATAGGAATCTCCAGGTGTTAATCATGGAGATGGGAATGGACAAGAATCCTGAAGAGGAAGATGCAGCACCGAAATGCAAAGAGAGGGGTTATGAGGTAATTGAATTGGGGACACAAATGGAATTACCCCTAAATTCCATGGCTAGGTTTGGAGATAATCACACTATGAAGGTAAAAGGGGCTATCGGATACATAGGGGTGGTCATTTTGATTGACAGTGGTGCCACTCATAATTTCATCACAAAGGATTTACTAATAGGTTGAATTAATTAATGATGAAATACCAGAGTATACTATTACAGTCAGGGATGGATCTGCCGTGAAAGGAAGGAAACGTTGCAAGGATATCATAATGAATGTGCAAGGTCATAATATTATTTAAACCTTCTACCCTTTTTCTCTAAGTGGTATTGATGCAGTCTTAGGAATGGAATGTTTGAAATCATTGGGTGATGTGAGAGTTAGTTGGAGCCAATTAACGATGAAAATTGGCAAGAAAGGGGAGCAAACCTGCTTATTGGGTGATCCAACTCTCTCTTGAACTCCAACTACTTTCAGTCTCTGATGCAATTGGTTGGGAAGAAAGGGGAAAGGTTCTTGATTGAATACAATGGCCTGACTAGTAGTGATGAAAGCCTAACATCACTGTGTCTTGAAGTTCAAACACTGTTGGAGAAATATCCCATGGTGTGTCAAGCTTTTGAGGGGTTCCCTCTCTCCCATTACAAGAATCATGCTATTGTTATCAAGCCAAGAGAGCAACCACCAAACATTAGGCCATACTAGTACCTTATAAAAAAAAATTTGAAATAGAAAATATGGTGAGAGACATGCTAAAAGATGGGATTATAAAGCCAAGCAACAATCCTTTCTCAAGTCCGGTATTGTTGGTGAAAAAAAAAAGATGAAAATTGGAGGTTTTGTGTTGGCTATAGGGCTTTAAATAAAATCATAGTCCCTGATAAATTTCCAATCCCAGTCATTTACAATATTTTCAAAGTTGGATTTAAAGTTTGGGTATCATCAAATTCGAATTAAAGTGGATGAGCACAAGACAGCATTCAAAACTCACAAGGGACATTATGAATTTAAGGTGATACCCTTCAGATTAACTAACACAGTCTTAACTTTCCAATCTCTCATGAATGAGGTATTTATGCAAGTTTGTGTTGGTATTCTTTGATGACATGCTTATATATAGTCCTGACCTGACCTCACATTTGAAAAAACTTGAAATTGTAATTTCAATCTTGAAAGAAAATCAGGTTGTAGTGCATTTAAAAAAGTGAACCTTTGTACAATCAAAGACTGAGCAATTAGGTCACCTCATTTCATCGTGATTTCCTAAATTCCTTTACTTCTCAAGGAATATCATGATTCTCCAATAGCTAGCATTCAGGCTATTTGTGCACCTACAAATGGATGTCCAACGTGCTGTATTGGGAGGGAATGAAAACATATGTGCAGCAATATGTAGCAAGTTGTGAAGTGTGCTAAAAGAATAAGTACCAAGCTTTGTCCCCTGCTGGCTTGTTGCAACAATTAACTATTGCAAAAAGTGTTTGGGAGGACATTAGCATGGACTTCATCACCAGGCTCCCTAAATAAAAGAGGTATGACACCATACTTGCGGCGAATATGCTCATTTTTATCCTCTTGCTCACCCATTTACTGCAAAGGATGTTGTTGAAAATTTTATAATAGAGGTGGTGAAGTTGCATGTTTTTCCTAAAACCATAGTTACAAATCGAGACAGGGTTTTCACTAGCCAATTTTGGCAAGAATTGTTCAAACAAGCTGGTACTCAACTTTGCCTAAGTTCATCTTACCATTCAGAATTTGAAGGACAACTTGAGGTGCTAAATAGGAGCTTAGAGACTTATTTGCATTTCTTCGCCAATGAAAAGCTGACTCAATGGGCTAAATGGTTAGCTTGGGCTATGTACTAGTATAACAATTCTTATCACAATTTAGTTGGAATGACACCCTTGAATGTAGTGTATAGTAGGGATCCTCCTACATTCTTGAAACTTAGTGGCGAACCTTGCACTATAGAAGATGTGAATGAACAAATTCAAGTTAGAAACCAGATTATTTCGCTCTTAAGGGATATGCAATTAGAGGTTAGGGATCTTGTTTATGTAAAACTCCAACCTTATAGGCTGAAAACTTTGGCTAAAAAGGTCAATGAAATTGAGCCGATGCTTTTACAGTCCTTTCAAGATTGGTACAGTAGCCTACAAGATGGACCATCCACCACCTGCTCAAATTCACCCGGTTTTTCATGTTTCTCAACTCAAAAAGTCTGTGCATTTTGCTGTAGTGAATCCTACTATTCCCCCAATCCTCTCTAATGAATTAGAATTACAAGTGCAACCTCAAGATATTAGGAGGATTCACAAACTTTTAAATGGACAAGAGGTGTTGGATAAATGGCACAATCTACTTGAGCCCAAGAATTCTTGGGAACATGCAGAATTGATTAGTTAGCAACTTCTCGCTTTTCCCTTGAGGACAAGGTGAAACTTCTAAGGGAGGATAGTCATAGAACCTATGACTTCCCTAAGATTTACAAGAGGAGGGTAATGACTCAAATGGAAAGGCTTTGATTAGTCAAAATGATTATCCATCGGTCCATGGCTGTAAGAAATCGTAAATCTTGATCTTATGTTATGAATAGTATCTTTTGGGTAGGGGATTTGTGGAAGCCTTGCTATGAGTTTTATTAGTCTTTTTCTTGTGTTGAGGGGATATGTCTGTTGTGATGGAATTGTGAGGAGAGACTGGTTTCTCGAATGCCAGAGAGAGTAGAACTCTTATTTTGATGTTCGTTAATCGTGTTGCTAGTTGTACTTTGATTATTTAGGGGGGATAGGGTTTTGGTTAAAATCAGAGATTTTCTTGCAACTCTAATTTAGTTCCCTTAATATGTTAATATCAAGATCTCAGCATTTTCCCCTCATATTTATCATTGTCTGACAAATTTAGTGAAAAAATGCTCTTCATTATTTTTCTCAATATTTACAAGAGCTTGCTTTGATATTTATAAGAGTATATCAACATAGGATAATAAATGCTATCTTAACTTCTAACCACCAACTAATATCTATCTAC